AAGATAGGATCCGACGGTTCGGACACTTTCAAAATATTTCATCATTAGAATCAATCGCAGGAATACTAAACCGTACCTCCTTTCAACTTGTTATTAACCTCCTCCAGTGCATTGTCTACTTGAATCTGGCTAGTGACGTCAAACTGTAGAATTGTTAACCGCTCTGAGCACATGTTACGTAATTCTTTTGCCCCCTCACCGTCTTTAAAGAGACATCCAGCAAACACGTGGAACCCCAGTAGGTCTAGGTATATAGCCAGTGCATGTCCGAACCCACTATCACATCCTATAGAAACAAATATGTTAATGCAATCTTAGTAGAGATTAGTAATTTGCGAAATCGTAGTCGCCCCCATACATAATGGCCCAAACCTCGTGAAATCTTACCCACCCCTATACATAATGGCTCAACCCTCGTGAAATCTTACCCACCCCTATACATAATGGCCCAACCCTCGTGACATCTTATCCACCCATATACATAATGGCCGAACCCTCGTGACATCTTATCCACCCCTATACATAATGGCCCAACCCTTGTGACATCTTATCCACCCCTATACATAATGGTCCAACCCTATTGAAGTCGTAGCCACCCCTATACATAATGGTCCAACCCTTGCGAAATCGTAGCCACCCCTATAATTAATGGTTCAACCCTTGCGAAATCGTAGCCAGCCCTATAATTAATGGTTCAATCCTTGCGAAATCGTAGCCACCCCTATAATAATGGTCCGACCCTTGTGAAATCGTAGCCACCCCTATAAATAATGGTCCAACCCTCGTGAAATCACATACTAGTACACTGAGTGACTAGACATCATAATAGTATAGTATAGTATATTTTATTTGACACTAAATAATATATTTCGTTACATTATCTGTGGGTCAAAAGACGTTAAATATAATAAAACACACACACACGAGACAAAAGAAAATACATAAAAGTCTAAGTAAAATTACTTATAGTAAAATAATATGCTGTCAATAAATTTGCTAGCGCTATTGGCAATGAACCCATCTCTCTATTATGAATGGACATCACAATACAGTGGGCCTGGGCTATAAAATGTCTGTGAAATTGTGTTAGTGTATGTGGTATGACTGTAGGGTGGACTTTGATCTGATATCAGTGGGTCGAAATCCTTGTTTCGTATGTATCGGTATATTAAACTTGTTCGGTCAAGGTGAGTGGTGTCTGTTATATCCATTTATTTTGTTCTGTATGTAATTTACTTTGAACACTGTAGTGTTTTATACAATCCGTTTTCGGGTCACATTAAGTGCAGTACAACCATGGGTATCATCATGGTATCATCGATCCCACACCGCGTTACAAATATTGTGGGTGTGTTGAGTATCTAAAATATTTCAGCCACGTGCACATTAGAAAGCACGATTAATGAAACGTACCAACATTGGGTACCCACCTATCTGGAATACTCCCGGAATGTTCACTCACCTGTTACTAGAACAGATTTCCGCCCAACTTCCAAACGCTTCGCCGGTAACATATATATCCAGACGCCAATTATAATCACCACGCCGATTGACGCTTTGAACGGAACTGGTGTCAAACTAAATGCGAATTTACTTTTCCCAATAGGTACGAGTGGAAATAGCGAATCGTAAATTATGTAAACGAAAATACCTAAAAGAATAAAAAGTATATATCGAACAATAATTTGACCAACATTCGCCATGGCTGTGTGTCTGTTCCGTAATCAATTATTTACGAGTTGTTTACCTGCCGTTTATATGACGTGGACGTGTTGTGACGTGTATTGACTGAATTCAAAAAGACATACTAACACACAAATTGGTGACGTCACAAATTGCATGAGGCCGTTTGTTCGCCGAGGTAGCACATTATCATTAACTTGAAAAGGCTCGCTCAGAGCAAAGACACTAGAAAAAGATCTTTTTCTAGTGTCTTTGCTCAGAGCTACCATGAAAAACGTAAATTAGACAAACTGAAAATATCAACTTGAGCAATCTGATAAAAAAAAATTCCGGTTGGCCAAATTTTTTTAATTTAATTTTAATATATTTTATTATATTTCATTAATTGTTATTATAATTATTTATTTTAACATTTGTTCTTACAATAAATGTCCTGCACCGGTGGCTTTCACGAACAAAACAATTCTTGCAGCAAAATAATTGTAACGTCGGAAAGTAATTAAAATAAATAATAATTATAGTAATTATATAAAAAATATTAAAAAAACAATTAAGCCAACCAGGATCTTATTTTAATCAGATTGCAACTTAAACTAGAAAAAAAAATAAACAAAGAATTTCACAAAAGAATAATAAACTATGCAAAAATAATTAAGAAAGAAACATACCCCAAGTCAAGGTGAGTTTTGATAGATATTAGGCGTCACCACAATGCGTTCTATAATACAAAAACAATTCAGGATTCTGGTTTCAGCAGTTAACATTTTAATATTTTAGGAAGTCTCACAATTCAAAAAAGTTCGTCTGATACTATTTACTTAGTTGTTTACTCATATACATGGTCAATATTTGTCGAGACATTTATTCTCTAAGTTCAACAACTTGCAACACAACTTGGAAAATTCAATGAATAAGAACTCACTGGGTTTAATTTCGCTATATTCGCTAATAAGTAAAATTCGCTAAATTAAAAGTTTGGCATTATGGTTTACGCAAGTGACACATAATTAGCGATAATGTTCGCACCTGAGATGTAGGCCCACGTATCTTAGAATTGGGGGTTAGGGCTGGCTTAGTTAGGGTTTACGCAAGCGGCTAACATCACATTGGCGGTAATGTATACCCTAACGTGGCTTGACATTAAGGTTAGGGTCGGTGTAGGCAGGGTCTACGGAACAGTAAACACCAAATTGGAGAAAATATATAAACGAGTCTTGCCATTTGCTTAGAGTGGGACCAGATAAGGTTTACTAAAGCGACAAACGGATTGCAGAACATGTTTGGAGCACCAGTTGTAAACCAACGTTTCTTTAAGGTCTGGTCAAGCAAGGTTTACGCAAGCGACACATACCAAATTGGCGGTATTGTCTGAACTGGTGAATGAATGAATGAAATATTTGAATTCTTTCCGATATATGTTATTCCTATTGTGGTTTGGTCTCCGAAGCCTGTGACCATGTTGTATGATCGATGCACTTTCTCCAGGATTGATATTCTCCCTACTGATGCCTCATATAAGCTGAACCAACCCAAAATGATGTCGAAACATTTAGAAGATGTTCACACTCCAATAGTGGGCCATTTCACTGTTAATCTGTCCGAAATCAGAATAATTAATTTGGGTTCCGCCCGAACATGCATTCGTCTACTTGAAGTCCCTGACATGCTTTGACCGATATCATTCAAACGTGACACGAACTCAATGAATGATGGCTTACATATACACGTCGTTTATCATTACCAATTGATACAATATGGCTGACATACGGCCATTTTGGTCATAACTGTTTCTCTGAGATGAACAGGGCAGTTTAATTTCAAACTTGTTATCATGATCATGCATATTGGGTTACAGATGCATTATATATTTTTTGAGCTGACATTTGTCTAAATGTGTGATTAAAACTGCTATATTTTGTCCGTCATACTGAACTGAACATTTGAGGTCGACTCTCAGTAAGACCAAGCGGGGACTGTGCAATGACAATGCATGTTCACCAAAATGTATGCCTGACAACTCGTCGATTTTTTTTTAAGATAACGAGAACTCCAGTCGCCCTCACTCGCCCAGTTTTGGTTAGTTGCCTTGTTAGTTTACCTTTTAGAGATTTCGTGATGTTTCTGGTTACACTCCAACGTTTTGTAATATTCATAAATTAAACCCAGTTGGTAGTATTCAGGTTATATAAAGTAGATTAACTGATATTTGTCGAGTAGAGCGCCACCATTTTGTAAATTACAATTAAGCAATAAAGATACAGTGTGGGAAACGAGACTACCTCCTTCACAGTATTCGTCGAGTATGAATCACCACATAGCCCAGATTGTATCACGTTTAACAAGGTTGACATTTTGCTTACTTATGCTGAGTTGGCCTGTATCGTATTTTGAACAATCTTTTTTTGAAATAATGACAATAGCAAATTTGAACTAAAAACAAGTCCACATAATTTCATTATTATTGAATGTAAATACGTCATTTTAAAATTAAAATTGTATATATTTAATGCCATATTAACTTACCGTACACCTTAGCAAGACGCCTAAATAACACAATGATTCAATTTCTTTCCGGGGACATTCATGCGTACAGTGAAGAATATGTGATAGTGTCACACGCAACGTAATATTACCGTAATTGGTATAGTACAGGTGTGATGGTTCAAATACAAAAATGGCAACAGTAACATAAAGACTTCCCTGGCGGCGATGATAATATACGAACACGGAGCCAACAGATGAGGTTTCAACTGGTACTGGTGTTATTATACTCTGCAAACATCAAGTACAATAACGCGGTAAAACTCCAAACCTCCAATACTCAAACTCCAACACAATTCAACGAGATCTCCGATCTGATCTCAGTGCTGAACAACTCCCCTATATATACCCGCACTGTCTATAAATAGACCATTGCATCAGCATACATAATGAGTCTTGAACTTACTACCAATTTCTAGAATGTTCCATTACCTTCT